AGGTGGCCACAGATGGTGAACCAGATGGGAAGCAACAGAGACATGCTGGGAGAGGGGCCCAGGCGGGGCCTAAGACGATGGCGGCGGGGGACACAGCGAGGAGTGTTCGTTCCCAGGGCTGAGTGGTGGCAAAGTTTCTCCTGCTCTGTGGCTTTGGTTGCCCTCTCGTCTCTTAATCAGTTATGGGCACAGTGTGTGGAGTCTTGGGCTGCTTCTGCCTGGAGGGAATATCTGGTCAAGGAATCATTAAGCAGATGTACCAGGTATACAAGAGCCCTGTGCCAGCTGAGCACCCTAGTGCGTGCGGGGAAGTCTGAAACAGAGAGGAAAGTAGAGCCTGATGACATAAATCTGGGCAGGCTTCCTGGAGCAGGTGAGCTCAGGGCAGGTTAGAAGACTCGGAGGACTGTGGGCTGGTGTCTAGGTGGGAAGGAACAGCCTGTGCAACAGCTTTGAGACGAGAGCAGGAGGAACAGAAGTGGGTGATGACAAGCGGGCTTACTGGTGATAGCTGGTGAGAACAAGCAAGTGATGAGGCTGGAGGGTAGGTGGGCAGTGGGCCGAGGACACGGCTGAGATGGGGGTCTGCCTTCAGCCTTCCCGGCTTCAGCTGAGCCACCGCTGGTATAGTCAGTCACCCCAAGTAGGTACAGTACAGATGCAGAATTTGTCCCCATGTTCCTCACCTACTCAAACCCCGCCCCCCCAGAAACATGGGCTCCTGCCCCATTACTGCTAGGGTAAGCATTCGCTCTTTATGTCTAGTTGGGCTCCCCCTGCTATGTGGTGTTTGTTTGTTTGTTTTCTGGGGACAGAGTCTTCCTCTGTCACCCAGGCTGGAGTACAATGGCGCGATCTCGGCTCACTGCACCCTCTGCCTCCTGGGTTCAAGCAATTCTCCTGCCTCAGCCTCCTGAGTAGCTGGAAACTCCTAAGTAACTGAGATTACAGGCGCCCACCACCACGCCCAACTAATTTTTGTGTTTTTAGTAGAGCCAGGGTTTCACCATGTTGGTCAGTCTGGTCTCGAACTCCTGACCTCGTGATCCACCTGCCTCGGCCTCCTAAAGTGCTGGGACTACAGGCATGAGCCACTGCGCCCCGCCCCTCTGCTATGTTTTAAAGACCATTTATTCTTTTTGGAGACTGAATAGATTGTCATCCACATCTCAGTGTTTTCTGAACACCTACTATGTGTAAGGCATTGTAACAAATAAAAATGTGAATGTGCCAGTAGCTCATGCCTGTAATCCCAGTGCTCTAGAAGGCTGAGATGGAGGGTCACTTGAGGCCAGGAATTTGAGACTAGCCTGGACAACACAGCAAGACCCCATCTCTACACACAAACAAAAATTAGCCAGGCATACTTGTGAGCACCTGTGGTCTCAGCTATTTGGGAGGCTGAGGTGGGAGGATCGCTTGAGCCCAGGAGTTCAAGGCTACAGTGAGCTATGATCGTGCCACTGCACTCCAGCAGAGGCGACAGAGTGAGAGTTTATCTCTTAAAAAAATAAAAAATAAAAAAAATAAGACTATCCCTTATTGCCCTGCAAAGCCATTTCCTCCATCTTCAGGTCCCCAGCTTTCATGTTTTAGCTAAATAAAATTCATTCCCATGTGTATGTGCATTCAGGTGTGTGTGGTATTTCTGGGCTTAGGGTGTGTGGGTGGAGTGAGACACCAGCAAGTGTGTGTTAGTACTTAGCTGTTTATAAGTGAGTGTGTTGCCTGGGGGTATGGCAGGCATTTGGGTGTGATGCTTGAGCCAAGTGGGTGATGAGTAGCTACAGGCCCTAGGGCCAGAGAAGAGACTGACTCAGTGGGGCTCTGGGGTCTCAGAGTGGAGAGCTGCCCAGGCCCTTCTATCTCTGCCCCCCTGGGCCCCCACCCCCACTCACCCTGTCTCCAGCATGGGGCAGTGGGTGATGTTGTCACTGGTTCACGTGGCTCAGCTGGATTTCCTGGGGTGGGGCCCCCCAGGCTACCCACAGCAGCCCAGAGAGTTGGGCGGGAAGAATGCTTTGTGTTGGGTGTTACCATGGGGATAGCAGGTCTGCGCCCAAGCAGCCGTGGGGCTCAGTGGGAGGGGGACTAGGTGGCCCACTGACCCAGTTTACCCCCCCAACTCCCTGCTGCAGCCATGACTGTGATTATTGTGGTGTTGAGGTGTAGAGGCTGAGGGGGCATGGGGATGATTTTTATGGCTCTCAGGATGCTCTGGGCCCTGTAGAAAAGTATGAAAAAGACAACATAGGGTTCCCGTGCAGGGCAGCACAGACTCTGGGGGAAGGGAGCCGGAGCCGTGGTTGGACAGGGAAAGGTGCACAAACATTAAGAGGT